CAAAGAGTGTGAGAAAACAGTGTGGGTCTGGGTCTCCACAGGAAATTGAAAATATATGATCGCAGGAGATTGGTCATTTGAGCACTTTGAGTACATGAAACAGCGCTTCATTCTGACCTACGACAATTCGCGTTAGTAGAATCAATATTTTTATTATTTGCCATTAAAAATATAAGGGGGGCTGCTGCCGTCGCCGCTTTGCCCCCCCCCGCGCAGCTACGGCCTGAAGCTATAAGTCACACTACAAGCATGAATATTATAATTGTTTTAGCTCATCTGACGTAGGGTGTCAGGCTTGTAAATCGCATGATTGTCCGTCGTCGTCGTCGCAGGCTCATCAAACAAGTTGGGCAACAAATCTACATCCGCATCGACGTACGGTCACGATATCGGGACGTGGGTAATTTTCCCCGAGAAAAACCGGAGGTTGGAAGGATGTCGAAGCTGGGGCAAGTCAAAGGTCAAGAGGCGTAAAAAAGGGGAAACACTTCCCTCCTTAACTAAGGTATAGGGAGGAAATGCAGAATTGCGGCACAAATCTAAACGGCTCGACCTAGGCTCGTGATAGTCCTAAGTCGGTGTATAGCATCATGGTAGGAAAAGCCATCACTGTGCCGAAATTGGAGGTCGCACGTCAAAGGTCAATGGGGCACAGGGCAGATTTTAGACATTTTCTGAGGACATGGTCTGACGGAGCGATTGAAAAACTTTTTTGTTTCAGTGGTGACCGACCAACCATTTTTATGGCTTTATTGAAAGGACCATGAAATGTACTTTCCGCTGACAGTGACATGTGAAGAGTAAGTGTCGGATAACCTTTTGACCCTCAAGAGGAGGGTTAAACATAGATTTGTTGACTGAAACGACTGAACTGCTTTTTCTATTATTAGAGCCCATACCTGTGTGAATGTGAGGCTACAGTTGCACAGTTTAATTGCAAAGGCAAATGTTTGTTGAACAAGGTTTACGCTCCTTAAATCGTATTATTTTCTAAAGCAGTCTGTCTATAGCACCCTGAAGGCTGAATCAGTGAATGCTCGTGTGGTTAGGCAAAAACACGGGGCAGCACATGGCTGGCACACTTCTAATCATAATTGTTGCCTGCCAACATGCAATGCTCATACATGTGTCTGCAATGCATCTATAGAGATTAGGTGGGTGCGAAAGTGTAGCTGATATATTTGTTCCAATTGGCTACGAAAGTCAAACAAGAATAAAGAAGGCTTATGTATAAGACGTCTTGCTATGCACAAATGAATTTATCAGCAGAACACCAGACACCAGATGAGCCCTGTCGCACTGCGGCACTTGTTTATTATGGAATCTAAGAATCTACCTAGTTATAGTCTGATAGAATTAGCTTGAAATTCGCTTCCAAATTTATTCGAGGATTTGACTCAAGATACATGAGCACGGCTAATATAACAAAAGTCAGAAGACTCAAACCATGCCAATTTAAAGATGACAATTTGTAATTTTGAGGTTTTGATGCATGGTAATGAGTGATGGCGGATTGTTTTAGGAAGTAATCACTTCACTCAAACAGATAGATGCATGCTATTACGAAAATCTGTCGATAAGTCTTAAATATTTGAAGCAGTCAAAAGATAATTGTCTTAACAAGGACACATGAGTTTCCTTGAAGATTAATAGTGGATAAATATGTAGTGTATATTGATTTCAGCAGCAAATTGTCAAATTAAATTGAAATCAAAATCAATTTCGCTTAAGTATTCAGTAACACGTCTATTACCAGCCACGTCTAACAAGTGTAGTCACTTAATTCTCTAAACTGTGATTTTCCAAAATTGTAATTCCTATTTAAAGCTGCATGCTCTAATAGTACATGTATAGCAAATTATAAGACTGCATGACATAGCCAGGCTTTGTGCACACACTTATATTTTGACATCATCGCTTTAAAAAGTAAAGCTTTTTGTTTATTCAAGTCATTGTAACATTGATGTGTGCAAGTCATTTCATAAATCACGTGTGCTGGAACACTGATTTGTCTGCGTGGAGTAGCTGCACTCGACAAGCAGCATATTAATTCATCATATACCCTGTTAAATCATATTTTAAATTCATTATAATTAGATACCCTGTTAAATTACAGGTTTTCAGCTGCTAGTGTTACCTGTGGAGACGTGTTCAAGCTAATTTAGCTCACGCATAAAGCTCATTGAATCGGCTTCATTAAAAAATCGTAATTTAAAGGGGGTGAAGATATGAATGCATCGCCAGGACACGGTTCGAAAAGAAAAAAACATTGTTTTTTTCACGAGTAGTAACTACAACACACGTGCGCGTAATCCACTGTGCACGTAATCTATTTGATTTAGTAGAGCGCTTTAACTCTCAGTTTTACGTTTGAGCGTGATGATCATTCACATTCCTACCTTGTTTATCTAGTGAAAATGAATGTATCTATTAGACTATTAATAATGTTATTATTACAGTGGATGAAATCATTTGTAGACAGTGTAAAACCCATCACTTTGAGTTTCTGGAGTTTCAAATGAATTCACTAGTTTTCGTTCATTTTGCCATTGAATCAGTATATCATATTTTGAATAAATAAAATCAAACGTCGTTTTCTTCACTGCTGATAATGTGGTGGTAAAATTCGCATCCACTCACCTGTCACGTTGCAGGTAAAATACATAATTTAGATGAGTAAGTCTTAGCCTAGCCCTAGAACTATAGCCCTTCGCTCTGCCACAGACCTGTGGCAGAGTGAAGGGCTATAGTTCTAGAGCTTGTCTTAGCCCTAACCTGCCCAACGTGTCAGTGACTCTTCGGGACTTTCTGTACATAGCTTCGCTGCACGCACTACTATGATCTCCTGCTATGATCATATCAAGATCATATCAAGATCATATCTATAGATTACGTCATATTTGTATTGATATGCTCAGGAGTACATGAATAGAGATCTCTATGCATGTTCTTCTGATATGCTCACGGTACTAACTACAGAAATTACGTTGTGACCTATTTCATATTCGTTTGCATATTCGTTTGCATATTCGTTTTTCATATTGTTGCACTCTCGAGTGTATCAGTGCTAGTAACAAGCGTTGATTATCTGCTCGTATCTACGCCCTACTTTCACACAGCCGAGCCAAATCAGGCAGAATGGCATGTAATCTTGACTGATTTTCTCTCGTTGCAAGTCGATAATGGCATCAATGTGTCCGTTTAAGCTAGTCGTGCATACAATGTGAGCGAGGTCAGATAACCACGCCCTCTGAAATAATTGTACTGCCGGCCCGCGTGTCGTAAGCACCGGTGAAACCAAACCGTTTCCGTATCTGCATATAAACCAAGACAGAGTTAATAAAAACAAATGTTGTTAATAAGACAAGATTTATCTTTATTAACTCTTGATATAAGCAAGAGTACATAATAGAAATTCTTCTAGTAATAGAAATTCTTCTAGTAATAGAAATTCTTCTAGTAATAGAAATTCTTAGAATTCTTAGAAATTCATAGAATTCTTAGAAATCCTTAGAATTCTATAATAGAAATTCTTCTATTTTGGACTCTTGATATAATATTTCACGAGCTGGGCTCTAGAACGTGACAAATATTTGTCATTATACACTCCTGATGTAAGTCACTGCTTCACCTCACATATACGCGTGATAATTTGGGAAGACACATTGCTACACCAATTTTGTTATTTATCATCAGGAGCGTATAATGACAAATATATACGTCATTATACGCTTATAATATATTTGTCATTATACGCTCCTGTTATCATGTATGTATATACACCCGATGGTTTGTTGTTGTGTGTTCACTTTTCGAAGGCACAGAGTTATCTTGTCACTAGCTCTAGAACTATAGCCCTTCGCACCGCCTGTGGCAGAGTGGCGTGCTAGATACCGCGAAGTACCAACGAAGTGTTTGAGAAGTGAATGGCAGCTATTTTGACATCCAAAAAATAGACGTACAAATAGGATATATATATGGCTATAAAGTTAATATTATAACAGCGAAGTATTTTTCTGCCGCCTCATTTTTTTCATTTAGGGAAAATATTTGCACACACGTTCTCTCCATTCTTCTAAAATTCGCCCCATGCCTGTCCCCCGCGTCTCCCGCTTGTTTCTCGATTAAATGCGTTATTGATGCTGTATTTCTGATCCAGCTTCGCGTACATTATTATTTGCAGCTTTATCACATGATATACAGTATAAGGTATAGAGAATGTTCCTTGAGGATTCATACTAGGTAAATTATAGTTTTCATAGCTAGGTAGGCGCTAGTAACTATATAGCCCGCGTACAGTTGCGACTGGCAGCCAGCGGCAACTGTACGCGGGCTATAGTTACGCAGATGGGGTCGTTGTTGTATCAGGTACTACGTACAGATATGTACCCGAGGTAGTTTTAGGTTGTTTAGTATTATGTTTATATTTTTATATGAGGTATGTTTAGGGTTAGTGTTGCTCATAGGGTCTATGTCCCCCAGGGTACTGCCGGAACGTACCCTGGTCACTATTTGATATGGTTAGGGTTAGGATTAGGGTTAGGTTTAGGGTTAGGGTTAGGGTTCGGGTTAGGGAGTAGGCGTAGACGACTCCCTAGACTCGTTAGTAGAGTAGGCGAGGTACGGTCGCCATATTAGATAGTACCAGGGTATACGTTCCGGTATACCGGACCGTACCCAGGGTACGTTCCGGCAGTACCCCGGGGGACATAGACCCTCTCAGCGTTAGTGCTAGGGAATAGGGTTAGGGTTAGTGTTAGGGTTAGGGTACACTTCTGTAGTACAAGTCTGGTACACTTTGTGTATACATATATGTACCTCGGGTACATATCTGTAATACCTGATACGACAACGACCCCTTGAGCTATAGTTACTATAGCTCTAGTACTATAGCCCGCGTAAATGTACGCGGGTTATAGAACTAGAGCTAGTTACTAGAGCTAGGCGCAGGATGTAACACATTACCCGATAACATTAGTACATCAACCTTGATTATTTACCATTAGAGTAGCTAAGTCCCTGAAGATGAGGATCCATTTGTGCTGGAACATTAGCCATAACAAAACGTTTCTCCGAGTCTCCGACGATCACTGAAAATTCAATGAAAACACACCGGCCTTTCTTGGCACAGGCATGGACACTACTGCTACTCGTCTAGTGCTGCCACCACCATGAAACTCTGTGTGGCCCGACAGTACAGAAGTTATTATCGGAAAATAACATAAATAAACACACAAATAACAAGATGATCATCAGAAAAGAAGATTGATTGTAAATAATAGTAATTATGCGCATTTATGTTAATTAAATTTGACGTATGGTCTAAGAATGTGTACCCTATGGTCCCTATCTGGCAAAGTTGTGATTGTTTTGAACCGTTGCTCAAATCCCCTATCAGGCCTCATTCTGCTTCGCGACAATCGCATGCGTCGGCCCATAACAAGCGGCAGTGGATGAATAAGCTAGGCAATGATCAAAGCTTGTCAGTTAGCAGGGGAAAATGGCCAAGCCCTCTACTAGCAGGACTCCGAGAGATGAACAGGAGCAGGAAAACAACGGGTACGTTCATGTGCTCGTTACGCCTTTAGAGTGTAGCGGATTAAATGTATCGCAGTGGTTTGGACTAACTCACATACGACTGACGACACAGCAGCGGCATTTGCTGACTACGGGAGTTTGCCTACTCGGCGCGATTTTGGTATACTGGTTGGTGACGTTGGACTTAGGATTGATTCTGCAGCGAATATGTTCCGTAATCGTACCGCTGTTCAGCATCAGTTCGGCGTTCTACTGGCTGCCGGTGTACTTCCGTCGCTCGTGGAACGCCGCCAGTGTGTACATGTTGTTCATCGCCTGTTTCGGAGGCGAAATCGTCGGCCAGACAATGAGCGTGCGGACCGATTCGTATCTCGCGTCGCCAGTACTACTGACGGCGGTGCTCGGCAGCGTCGGCCTCGCGAACACCTTCTCGTCGCTCGACTCGCGCGAGAGCGCCGCCGTGATATCGTTCGTCAGTGTGATCCGTTTCGTAGCAGTCACGCTGCTCACGGAGATTCCGAAGGGCTTTCGGCCGTTCGTGGCGTACGTCTGCGGCGCGCTGGGTGTCGTCCTCGCAAACCACATGGAGACGATGATGAGGCCGGCTGGCGGTAGTGGCCTCGTCATGCACGATGCAAAGATACCGGCGGTGAAGAGACGGCGAACGTCCAGCAGCGGCAACGGACCACCCGCGTTTAACCACAGAGGACGCAGGACGTCGTTGCCGGCGCTGGGACTCATACAAAAGAACCAGGTCCAGGTAAGGAAATTACTCGGTATTCATCGGCTGACGACACACACACACACACACACACACACACACAACACACACACACACGACACACAACATATATATATATATATATATATATATTTATATATATTATATATGTGTGTGTGTGTGGTGTGTATATATCGTACACGCGAGCGCGCATATCTATCTATCAATCGGCGCATCCATCAATCAGATTGCAATTAGTGTACTGCATTCGTACACCCACCCACACGTCGGTTTGCATTTATATGGTTGGGCATCTTCACTAACGAAATTTACTCTCATGTGACTGACTGGCTCTCGAGCAATTTATTGGCTAGGCTGCCTAAATTGTGTTCTTCTAATTATTGTATAGAGTATATAGACTGAAATGTATGCTAGTAGTGGTACTAATATATATATTCATATATATATATATATACACATCATATAAATATTATATATAATAGTATTATAATAATTATTCTATATTATGTGTATACAGGGGTAGAAATTGACTTTTGAACAAGGGAGTCCAACGGACTACTTACCCTCAAAATGAGGGAGCGCAGCGAAATGAGGGAGTCCGCAGTCTGAGGTTCAAAATTAAAGATATTAACAATAACGCATGTGCTTATTTTTTAAGATTCATGGCAGTTGCATGTCTGCCAAATTTTCTTTGGACATTAGCTGAAAAAATACAGCAATTCCACGAGGCCGTGCTCCAGAACTGAACTAGTTACTAAGTTAGTATGGCAGAATTTTCAGGGAGTCACACGGACTCAGGCTGCATAATGTCAAATCAGAGAGTCCGACAGTAAATCAGGGAGTATTTGACTCCGGACTCCCGTTAATTTCGGACCCTGAGTATACTATTTATAGTAGCGTAGCTTGGTAATATTGTGTTGATTGTAGTTAATTTAAAGTTGTTTTTGTGTTTTATTCCAAGATTCAATGCTATTACTTTATAGTGCGAAGTTGTTACGCTTACACTTACGCGTAATTATTGTTACTTTATGTTACTGTATTATTACATGAACTACAATGTACACGTATATATATACAATATATACTATACGTATAGCTAGAACTGTTGAAGTTTATTTTGTTTTAGTCACCCCAGGCCATAATGACACGCACGTACACACGCATGCACGCACACCCACACACCGCGCACGCGCACGCGGCACGCGCACAGCACACGCACACGACAGGCACACACACACACACACACACACACACACACACACACACACAAACACACACACACACACACAAATACACGCACGCGCACACACACGCATGCACGCACACACGCATGCACGCGCGCGCACACGATTTGCATGAGGTATATTTTTTTTGTAAGCAACAAAGAGACTGCACACAAATAAGATTGAATGTATAGTTACAGTTTGCATAATATTATATAATATGATATCATTTATATATGATTTTTAATTGTTTCTTGAATACTGAAACATTATTTCTCTATCTCATTGTGAATGAGAATACATTGGGTTCTATTGAACTAGTAAGTTGTTATTATTTTTTCCAATAGCTCTAAAATGAGCAACATTTAGTAAACAACAGAGCCGTAGGCTGAGCAAATTCCTAGGGGGAGGGGGCAGTGGCGGATCCAGGATTTCAAGGAGGTGGTGAGAAACAGGTGTGGGGGTCTGGGGGTCCTCCCACAGGAAATTTTGAAAATATAGATCGCAGGAGATGCCGTTATTTGAGGCACTTTTGAGTACATGAACAGCCTTCATTCTGACTACGACAATTCTCGTTTAGTAGAACAATATTTTTTTATTATTTTGCTTTAAAATATAGGGGGGCTGCTGCCCCTCTTGCCCCCCCCCGGCAGGCTACGGCCCTGAACTATATAGTTTCACCTACAAGCATGCATATTATATTGTTTTTAGCTCATCTGACGTAGTCAGGTGCAGCTTGTAGAATCGCATGATTGTCCGTCCGTCCGTTCGTCGGCCGATCAACAGTGTGGCACAAATCTTAACCGTCGACGTAACGGTCACGATATTCGGGACGTGGGGGGTAATTCGAAACGAGTTGGGATGTCGAAGCTGGGGTCAAAGGTCAAAGGTCAAGAGGTGTAAAAGAAGGGGAACATTCCCTCCTTAACTTAAGGGTATAGGAGGAAATGCAGAATTGCGGCACACAATCTAAACGGCTCGACTAGGCTCGTGATAGTCCTAAGTCGGTGTATAGCATCATGGTAGGAAAAGCCATCACTGTGCGAAATTGGAGGTCGCACGTCAAAGGTCAATGGGGCACAGGGCAGATTTTTAGACATTTTCTGAGACATGGTCTGACGAGCGATTGAAAAACTTTTTTGTTTCAGTGGTGACCGACCTACCATTTTTATGGCTTTATTGAAAGGACCGCATGAAATGTACTTTCCGCTGACAGTGACATTGAAGAGTAAGTTCGGATAACACTTTGACCCTCAAGAGGAGGGTTAACATTGATTTTGTTGACTGTTTAACAAACGACTGAACTGCTTTTGCTATTATTTAGAGCCCATACCTGTGTGAATGTAGGCTACAGTTGCCAGTTTAATTGCAAAGGCAAATGTTGTTTGAACAAGGTTTACGCTCCTTAAATCGTAATTATTTTCTAAGCAGTCTGTCTATAGGCACCTGAAGGCTGAATCAGTGAATGCTCGTGTGGGTAGGCAAAAACACGGGGCAGCCCATGGCTGGCACACTTCTAATCATAATTGTTGCTGCCCAACCTGTAATGCACATGGTGTCTGCAATGCATAGAGATTAGGTGGTGCGAAAGTGTAGCTGATATATTTGTTCCAATGGCTACGAAGTCAAACAAGAATAAAGAAGGCTATGTATAAGACGTCTTGCTATGCACAAATGAATTTATCAGCAGAACACCAGACACCAGATGAGCCTGTTCGCACTGCGGCACTTGTTTAGTATGGAATCTAAGAATCTACCTAGTTATAGCTTGATAGAATTAGCGTTGAAATTTCGCTTCCAAATTTATTCGAGGATTTGACTCAAAGAGCACGGCTAATATAACAAAAGTCAGAAGACTCAAACCATGCCAATTTAAAGATAACAATTTGTAATTTTGAGGTTTTGATGCATGGTAATGAGTGATGGCGGATTGTTTAGGAAGTAATCACTTCACTCAAACAGATAGATTGCAGCTATTACGAAAATCTGTCGTAAGTCTTAATATTTGAAGCAGTCAAAAGATAATTGTCTTAACGAAGGACACATGAGTTTCGCTTGAAATTAATAGTGAATAAATTATGTAGTGTAATATTGAGTTCAGCAGCAAATTGTCAAATAAATTGAAATCAAAATCAATTCGCTTCAGTATTCCAGTAACACGTCTATACACAGCCACGTCTAACAAGTGTTAGTCACTAATTCTTCTACACTGGTGATTTTCCAAAATCTTGGTAATTCCTATTGTTAAGCTGCATGCTCTAAATAGTTCACATGCTATAGCAAATTATAAGATGCATTGACATATGCCAGCTTTGTGCACCACTGTATATTTTGCATCCATCGCTTTAAAAAAAGTAAACTTTTTGTTGTATCAAGTCATTGTACTACATTGATGTGTGCAAGTCATTTCATAAATCACGTGTGCTGGAACATCTGATGTTGTCTGCGCTGGAGTAGCTGCACTCGCAACAAGCAGCATATTAAATTCATTCAATATGACCCTGTTAAATCATTATTTTTAAATTCAATTATAATTAGATACCCTGTTAAATTAAAGGTTTTCAAGCCTGCCAGGTGTTACCTGTGGCAGAACGTGTTCAAGCTAATTTACTTCACGCATAAAGCATCCATTGAATCGGCTTCATGAAAAGATCGCTTAATTAAAGGGGTGTGATGGGTGAAGACAGTTGCCTAAAATTTACTTTTTTTTTACGAGAGCTCTTTTTTGATTTTGTATTTGAAAAAAAGAGCTCTCGCTAAATTTTTTTACGAGAGCTATTTTAGGCTTGCCAGAGCTACTTGTTCATAGCATGACTTTTGATAAAATATTTCATAATTTTGATGCACTGACTCTAATATCATTGCTCAGCATTCAGGCATCTCAGCACCTGTATCAGACTATCAGTGTTAAGAAATCGTCAACAAATTACATCTCCATCACGATTTTTTAAATCTCATTTTCACTCGGATAAGAACCATCACATTCTTCATTCAATTTCATGCACACAGACAGACATGCACTACACAGCTACACATAGTCAAGGTAAAATGAACAAAGACCAGGAAATCAAAGAATTATAATTCATGAGTAATGATGGTAAGGTTATTTTTAAGTTTCTTTTTTTTTACTGTTCATATTATATTTCATCTCTTAACTTTCTTATTGATATAAACTCGAGCAAGTCAGAAAACTTCGCAAGAGAGTTTATTAGTTACTATTGAGTATGTAAAAAAAAATGGAATCTCTAGAATAGTCAGAGGGAGCTATTGATAGTAACGGATTATAACTTCATCGTTTTTTCATCCTTTCCAGTCCACAGGTACCCACCATGCATGATCAATGCTCCGCAATTCCAGCAAACGTTACAAGTTCCATAGAATCTATTAAGTACTATACAGTTATACGAATTGCTATCTAGATAATAATAACTGATAAAAATAGAATCCACATTTCTATGGTTAAGAATAAGTGACGAAATTCAGTTAAATCAGCGATTGTTACGCTGCCGGTCAGGTGTCACCTAGTCGTAACCCTCACTCACACCACGATAACCCTGCGATATTAAAACTTATTGTTATGCGGTTCAATAAATCACTGGGCTACGCAACATGCCAATGGGCGATGCAGTAATATGAATTTCTAATAGACTGTCGCGAGTCTATTGATATAGTGTGATGGAATCAATGCCGTTGAGGGAAGTTCATTGCAGCATCTAGATGGTTTGGATAACCCGTCATACCGTTGAGAACGCGCCATCGGGATTATGCGCTCTGCTTATAAGTCTGATTTAAACT